AGGCGTCATGCAACCCTGCGCAGGAACAGAAACTATTACGCAGGCCATAAAAGCGTTTACGAATTAACGGTCCGTAAAAGACCACGATGACAGAAACCAAAAGGGGTTATTAGCCCTCGAGAGCGTCTTATACGACACTTATTCGCTCGTCTGCACATGAAATCAAGGAGGCTGCTGCTCTTTCTCTCGGATGCGCGTCATTTACGGAAAAATTGAATCAGAAAATCACTTGACCTACTCATTTATCCAACCTTAATAAATTCTTAAGTATTTTTATCGTGCATATAATACCGCGCAATTTTAACGAAAGGAGAAACTTTCACCTTCGATCATTTCTGACTCAACATTGAATGGTTGAAAATTCGAACGGTAATTTATTTTGTTTAGCGTTTAAATGTCCTTAGAGAAGCAATAAAGACGCGTTAAATATTTTTATGGCGAATAAAAATCCAATTCTATTAAAATCAAGGGAATGACAGTTTCTCAAGATGTCTCGTGGATTACACAAATACGATCCTTTGAGTTGTGCCTGTCTTCGAGGAGCGCGTGCCGGGCACGTGTATACGTTCTGACTTCCCGCTCGCGGTCCCCTTTAAATTCGTGCGCCCTTCCACATTCGTTCACGCGTTAATGCCCGCGCAGGGAGAGAGAGAGAGAGACAGAGTGGCAGGAGAAGAAGAGCCAGCGCCGCGGGGTGATGAGAGGAAGCGGCACCGTGTGCCATCGTGGTTTTTTGAGTGTTCCAAAAATACCCTCGTCTCGGGGAAAGATAAAGAGACCGGCTGGAACGGCGGGAGATTCGGAGGGATTGGGTGAAAGAGAGAAAGAGAGAGAGAAAGAGAGAGCGAAGCAGAGATAGAGAGAAAAGGAGGATACATCAAGAGAGAGAGTCGCGGTAAAGAGAGGCCAGACTGAGAATACCAGTCCTCGTCAACTAGTCATCCTAGAAACGTGCTCGCGAGTGCCGCGGTGACGCGACAAAGGGCGACGTGAAAAAAAGAGAGAAATCGCGATCGCTGCTGCGATATCTGCCTTCTCGATCGCGACTGGAATAAATAAATCGGCATCGATCTGAAACGCGAAGCTGCGCCGCGGATACGTTATTTCCCTCCGCTCGTGAGAGCAACCGAGATGAAGCGTGACGCGCCTGTTAATGCATATTAACATTAGTCGAGAAATATTGGTAATAATTGAAGGAGGTATTTTAATCTTTAATTAATAAAGAGAAAAAGTATTATACGTAGAAAATATCACACGCACGAACAATAACGCTTGGAATCACGTTTTAACGACGCGTTTGATCGCCGTTTCGAAATACAAGCAGGAGCAATGCGCGTGCAATATCATCCCCTTTGATCATTCGCAGATCATCTTGCGATCGATATATCGGCACGCGGCGATCACACGTCGCCGACACGTATCAGGCGCAATCCGAAGTGACGCGTTCGTGGCTAAGGATGCCTCTAAAAATTGAGAGCGGTACTTACACGGTGAATCCGGTAGCAAAAAAGAATGTCTCCAAGTTCCTCCTCTGGAAACATTGGCGGCGAAGGTAGGAGACGTTTGCAAAGGGTTGACAATTTTCGGAATTCTAATAGCGAGCCCCCGAGATTTGACGTTGATATTGTGTGCGTTATAATTTTTGAATGCATGATTCTTCTTCATCGTAAAAGATAATAACATGATATCTCATTATATGCGGATGATTATTTCCAGCTTTGAGCGACGGTTAAAACTTGTCGACAGACTTGCTAATATGAAAAATGAAATATCGTCATTGAAAGAAAAAAATTTTTAATTTTAAACTTTCTTCTCTTTCGACGACGATACTTTATTCCTGTTGGTAATTTTGTCGGCAACTTTGTTGGTTATAAATTAATCGACGCTGAAAATAGTCATCCTGTATGTTTATCCGAAAGTGGACAATTATTAATACATAACTAACATGCGATGCGTATGGCGTTAACAATTGATTAATCGACGGCACATTAACGCCCTATTAATATACGTTACAAGTGTGTCTTAAATGCTTCACGGTGAGCGATTAGAACGTGACTGGGTCCCTTCGAGATTCATTAGCGGCATAATGGCAACGCATCCGCGTTGTGCATCCGAGCGTCGTAACTCCGATATGCGAGAATGAATCCAGGATCCGAAACGAGCGAAATTAATAAATATCGAGGAGCGGATCCTGCGCTGGAAGCGCGGTCAGCATCATCGTTCCTTACGGGAACGTCGAGATCCAGAAGAAATGATTATATTTCGCGTACAATAACACTTTGACATTTTCCAACGCGGTCGATTATACCCCTCGGTCCGCACGTGCGTCCGTGCATATACACACTAATCATCATCATCGACATCGTCATCGGCGATCGTGCATGATTCGTTTACCTTGCACACCTTAGTTTGCTTGGCCGCACGCCTGCCCACCTCGCGATGCACCTTAACCGTTAACTCGCAATTATGTCAGCGTCGATTTCCGCATCGCAAACAACATTGTACAACACCGGACAATCTACCTACTCGCACGACTCGTTTCTCCAATCCGTTACAAGCGCCATGCAGATTACACACTACATGCACGAATGCAACCGGAGACCGGTGCATTTTTCTTTCGGCCGCGGAGCTGCGTCGAAAGCGCCAGAAATTTGTCACGATGCGGCATTCATAATTTCTGAGAGTTCTTCGATATTAATCTGAAATGCTTGAATCGATGTACTTTGAACGAAAAAAATTTTCAAGCATTTTTTTATTGGAAACATATTTATCGTTCGCTTCAAGTATATTTAGAACGAAAAAGAATCGAAATAACGGTTTGAAAAACGAGTTGCTGCATCTTATACTTGTACGACTTCTGTATACTTCTTCGAAAGAACTCCTCCTGTTTCTGTGTACATGACACTTACATTTCCGTCGCGATTACATGTGCGATTAAACGTTGCGACAATCGTTAATGGACGATGCGTTTTTCTATGCAATCAAAAAGCTGTCGCGCGAGTTTAGTCGCTGATGTGAGAGCAACTTCACTGCATGCAGTTTGACCGCACTCGTCCGATGCACCCGCTTGCGCTGACCCGTGATTGTACGCAAGGTTTTTTCTCTTTAGCTACACTTTCTTGCAATCTTTTATTTCCTTCAATGTGTAAACACATGTCTGTTTTTATTTTAAAGAGCAAAGAGAAGTGCAGCTAAAATAAAACCTGTAATTAATACTTTAATGCGACTCGCGGCAAATAACGGACGTCTTTCGCAAGATTAACGTGTGCAAATAACATCGGCGCCAATTTGTCTTAATTCGCGCGCCGGAATTATTTGCACGAGTCTCTCGCCAACGAGGATTAGCGATGAATCAATTATCGGAAGCTGGTGCCACTCTGCGATCAATTTCCGAGATTCGGATTACTCCGCTTTTCTAAATGTTTCTTTATCGATGAAATAATGGTTATTCAATTTCGCCGTGTAACAGCACTATTGTTTTCGTAAATGTTTACTGTTAAACAAGTGATAACGATTACATGTCGAGGTAGGAGGAAATTAATGATATGCGGACGCTTCGCATGCAATGCGAGTTACAATGCGAGAAATAAAAATATGGCATTTGCGCGTGTTTCGTGACTCACGGCAATAAAAAAACCGCCGGCTTATTCATTGTCTTGATTATGCAGAAAAATACGAAAGTCACGGTGAAATTAATGAAATTGCCTGCGCATAACGTATAATATTTGCCTTCGTTAAGTCATTGAATCTGATCGTTATTGCGCCGCAACTTTCCATTCGGTTTTCTCCGGTGCAAAGACGCTAAAAGCCCCGAGCTTTTGCCAGTCAGTTATGCGCTACGTCGAAATCGTCATGTTACTCTCGTTACATCGATAATGCAAATATCTAGGTCGTTATAATGCCGCGTTGTAAAATTTAATGTGTACAAAAAAATTCCGCGAGAGCCTCGTTTGATACTGATTTCTCGCGCGTAGCCGAGTAACACTAAAGTGTAAAATCTATTTTTGCTATCTTTGAGATTCCCGCGTCAACGGAAAGTCGCCGCGACTCTCCCGGCGGGGTCTAGATGTAATATTATACATGCAGAATACGCTGGTCCGTCGAGAAACCGGTGTTCTATCGAACTTATCGGAGTGGCACCAGCTCCCGCGTGTGTTCTCGAGCTCCTCCGGTGAGATACCTGACGAAAAAAGCAATTAGGCCCGCTTATCAGTCTCCATTACATTGCATGAGTGCCACTTGCAAAAAAAGCAGTCGTAACGGTTACTGATAAATGATAATCTGTGCCGCTTTCTCATGCTTCGAGACAACGTGACATTCGCGAAGGAGAAATGCGGCTTGTTTCGCTGGGATCGGTAAAATTTTTATGAAAACGCTTCGTTATTAATCGAGGCCACTTTTTTGAACTTTAACTTTGTTACATTTACAAAATTTTCTTCAAGTTTAAATAATCTGTTTGATTATCCGAATTAAGTCGAAAAATATTCGACCGGCATACTTAAATTTTTTGAAGAATTGTCATGCAAAGTCGTCATGCAGGGTGTTCGATAAACAGGCGCACTTGGTAAACAAAGCGATATTAAAAAAATATTTTTTTCTTAAATCAAATTTAAGTAATGGTTAATTCTTGAAGCCATGTGAATATTAAATAATTTTGATAATGCGTATTGCAAATCAAAATACTTTTCCATCTAACATTAATATTTTACATTAATTAATTAAGGCCCATCTAATATTAATTTAAAAAAAAAACATTTTGTTATCTAACCATTTTTTTCGAGATTTTTAACTTTTACTTTAATTACAACTGACAAACCACTTTTATCAAGAGCTAATTTTTCAAGTGTTCGTTCAAGAATGTTACCAATGCGCTTAGAGATCGCGCACCATTGTGTCGTATTAAGAAATGTATGCATACAAATGTCGTAATCACACCGCGAGCTCGAGAACGCCCTGACACACGCGTGACAGAATACGGGATGAGAACCGGACTTGTGCAGTGTGCACGAGGACCGCGTGGACGAGGATCGGCGAGCGAGCGGGCAGCCGCGCGGGGGCGGCGAGGTGGCGGGCCTGGACGACGTCGACGACTCCTGCGTCGCGACGGTGACGTCGTCGGTACCCGGAGCCGGCGGCATCCGCTCGCATCGACGTACCAGACCGCTTTCTCTGGCCGTGCAGCCCTTAAACTATCATCGCTTGGACCCGGACACCAAGCCGACGATCGGCGCCAGGCGCCATCCCAACATGACCAGTCAGGAGAGCATCGGCAGCTGCAGCCTGGACGTCGACCGCTCCGCGTCCGACCGATCAGGTTGGCTATTGAGAAACATCACCCCCTGAGCGCGAGACACTAACAAAAATCCAATTACTGGATGAGAACATTGAGCGTTATTTATCGAGAAGAATCCTAAATTATTCTTATTAACTTAAAATTATCACTTATATTATTATAAAATTACAAATTATTATTTGTAATCTTGAACTTTTGTTGAAAGAAATATTCAGGAAAATCCATAAACATTTTAATATGCAAAAATTTAACAATGTACAAATATGATTAATTAAAGCTTCGAAGAATCAGAACGTGGAAATTCCAGAATTGATACGGATTAGATGGAGTATAAACGGTTCATTATTCATAACTAGGAAAAACGTGGTGATTCTTTGATTCTTGAAACGGGAAGATTCTTTGTTGCTATAACAGAAAACATTGCCGGAGGGATCGTTTCTTACAGAGAATTTTCTGCGAGAGCCCGATCGGAAGAATGATTAGACGCGTCGCTCAAGTGAGGAAATCATTCCGCAGAAAAAAGGCGGAGTGCGTCTGAGAGAACGTGGAATTATCTCTTAAAATTGATCTCTTTCAATTATCCCGAAGCTCTTAATTGGAGCTGAAAACCGTATAATAAACGTTTAAAAATGCTGACATTTAATTAATAAAATATTATTTTATATACACTCACCCGAAAAAAAAGCGGTACACTGAAAATGTGGGAAAAATTCATCAAATTTCAACTGACGATAACTTCGTAAATAATAAAGATAGAAAGTTCTATAAAATATGGAAATGAAGCTAAAAATCTCTACTTTAAGAATCAATTTATTTCAATGTTGCAAAATAAATTTATTGAAAATGGCGGATGACAAAGCGCGAGCATGCAAAATTGAAAAATAATGGTTCGAGTTTGCGACGGTGCACGGTATAAACAAAAAATTGTAGCTTATTGGATCAAAGCGTACGAAGTACAGAGTCTCCTCTTTAAAATGCTTTTTTATGCATCTCGATACGATGATTTTTCGCCGAGAGATTCGCATTTGAAGAAAAAGGCAGATTCTTACTTCTAGGCCTCTCACTTACAGTACAGTCTGCAAATCGTTCTCCAACGCGACGGTATACTCGTTCTCGTCCGTCTGAAGAATACAGACAAAAACGAGATTCGTCGCTAAAAAGAACGGTACTCCATTCTGCATATGTCCAGCCTGCATGCTCGACAGCAAAATTGAGTCGAGTTACGCGATCGCGACGCATAAGCGAAGGTACATTTGCTGGCCTGCGCGGAAAAAGACCGTGTTCCGCTAATCTGTTTCGAATAGTGTCAACGGATACATTACATTCGCGGACATCTCTTAAATTACGTTTCGAATTTGAACAGCCGTTCGATGTCTGTCTCTTAATGAATTTAAAACAATAAATCGGTCATCGTTTTCATTCGTACAACGAGGACGTCCCGAACCAGGTCTTCTTTGGACAGAATTAGTCTCCAAGTACCTAGCATAAGCACGTTGCACGGTTGACACTGATAAATCAAGTGCCTCAGCAACGTACCTTCGACTTCTCCCATCTTCAATTAACGCTACAACTTAAACAGCTTTTTCAGGACTTATCGTCGCCATAATTGACCAATAATTTCAATGCGAAAAGATTAATTATTGTTTACTTTGACGAAGTCGTACGAATAAGTAACGCGTCTCGAAAGAAAAAGATCAAGAGAAATCAAGCACTCTTCTCGCAATGTGCGGTCGAGCATAAACAAAAAGTCAGGGCGGAGAAATCACAAAAGATCTGCAGACATCTCCTTCGGATGCAAAACAATTGATTGAAAAATAATGGTTCGAGTTTGCGACGGTGCACGGTATAAACAAAAATTGTAGCTTATTGGGATCAAAAGCGTACGAAAGTACAGAGTCTCCTCT